CTATAAAGGAACGTAATATACCAAATGAATTCCTTAACATTATGTGCATTATTTTGCAGTGTAAAACTAGTTAGCCCTCTCCCCGATACAACTGCATCACAGGTCAGCAGAGTCCAACAGAATACATTTATGCAAGCATATGATTACCTAGCCTTAATTGGCTTCAATAAGAATACATTTGATTTCCACCATAAGGTTACTGGACTCAAGTTATTAGTGCAGGAAGTAATAGCTAGGATTGTGCAAAGGCTCAGAGTCCATGTCGAAAGAGGGCTTCAGAGCACAGAACGTAGCACCTATCTAAAACATTGCTTTTTTTTTTTTTTTTGAGAAAAAGCACTCGCAAGCAATTTTTAGAGACAGAATCTAAAGCACTATACAGACCTAATAACTGATAAAAGCAGTTGATGATTATTTGTGTTAATCATCATCATCATCATCTTCTTCATTATCATTTTTGAAAAGACAGACACTTATAAACTACATTCAATCTTATCTGGAAAATTCCACAGTGTTATTATCACTGTCCATGAGCAGATCTGAACTTTCAGTCTTCAAGGAACTGCTCTAAATTCTGCTCCTTGAGCTCCCATATTTCCAGGTAAAACAGAATTCCTGCAAACCAAGTCATACTAAATATACTAAAGTAGCAATACTAAAGTAAAATACTAAAATACTATTCCTGTGAACTAAGTAATACAGATACTAATCATTGTGATATCTTACGAGAACCCTTTCCTTAGTGGTTCAGCTCTTCTTACTCACTGAAATTGCCTTAGCCATCTATATGCTTTTTTACAAATTATCTTAAGCTTGCAAAGTATTTATATTTTCCTCTTTTGCTTTGACCCGACTATATCAGTGGGAAAATCCAACCTTACTCTAAACAGCCAGATCCCACTCTTTACCCTTGTAATTTACTTCCTGCGCAAGACACAGAATTAAAACCAGTATTTCTATTATTTTATGTCAGAAATAAGGTTCCTGGATTTAAGAGGATGGCAGCCAAGCTAAGCAAATCTTATTTTACAGGTTAATAATGGTAATTGGGATTGGAATTTCTATCACTAAGCAAGGTGGTTGTAAAATGCTATATCATATGATGGCATTGCCATCATTAGGTAAGGTTTGTGGTCATTAAGTGAGAATTTCCTTGCAACTTCCTTCTGGCTTCCAATAATCAAAATCAGTGGAGAAGCCAGCAGGAAATCACAAATCCCAGGACTGCTGTCTTGTGGGGTGGGAAATATACATATGACCAGGGAAGTTAAGTACAGCATGTGAAGGTCAGGTATAGCACAAGGACATCAAGGCTTGGGATGGCGGCTGCTGGACAGGGTCTGGTATGGTGCGGCACCAGCGCAAGAGCTGTGGGGAAGTTCCTGCCAGGAGGTGAGCATGTGAGGTGTACAAAGAGTGGTGGTGCAAGGTGAGCACTGTGAGGCTTGAGGTGGTTGTTGCCAGGCACAGGAGACTTAAGTATTACTCCTTCAGCACCACTGTAACTTGGAACTCGGTCACTGAATGAGTGGTCATTAACCAAGGCCTACCTATATTTGCATAACCAATCCTAACAATGACTTTCAGTTCCTCCTCCAATGAAACAACAAGAACAAGGAGTTTTATGTGATTACAAGTATGTACTAAATCACATTATGCTGCAGTTTCTTCTTTTATCCACGCTGGACTCAATTATTAACATAAACCAGTTGCATCACAAAGTAACATTTCTGCTACTGATGTTAACCTCCCATGTTTTGCAACTAAGGACCCACAGATCACAAAATTTGAACTAAGAAGATATTTGGGTAATCAAGTGTAGATTCCCCAGAAGGTATTTTGTTCATCTACTAGAAGATTAGGTAGCTCACATTCCCAGGTCAGCCCGAAGTTGTTTTGATATACAGCCCCTGGAGCCCGTCCAACCTCAGCCGCTGACAATTCTGACAATTATATTTAAATTTGAATATACAAAACCTGTAGCTTAATAGAATTTATTTAAAAAATAAATACAGCTCTGTTCCCCAGATCCATGAAAAAACAGAAAGCCCCAATATGCCTGTTCTGTATTATTGTTTCATCACTGGAAACTGCACCCAGCCACCAAAGGTTTGTTAACTTTTATCTACTACCAGGATGAGCAACCTTTCAGCCTACGGACCACCTCCCAGATAGGTACTAAGAAGTGTCCTCCAAGCTATGAATGCATCCAAATGGAGAAGGCTGATGGGCTGCACATAATAATTGCATTGTTTAAAAGTTCCTTGCTGCTGAGTAATATCACACTTCATATCAGATGACTACAGGCCAGTTCATCATAATCCCGATTGTTGCTGTAAATTCATATAGAACAAAAGCTTACAAGCGAAGAATAATCACAGTGTATACCAGGGATGTCGAACTCAATTTCATTGAGGGCTGCATCAGGGTTGTTTTTTTACCTGGGGGGGGCTGGTGTAGGTGTGGCTGGAGTGGGAGTGGTCAACTTAACGTCACTTGTGTCAGGACGCCTGTGGTGGCCCGAGCACTCTGCCAGCAAAAACAGAACATGCGGCCCTCCCGAGCTCTGTTTTTGCTGGCTGAGGCACCGCGGGCCAGTCCTTTGCTGTTTCCAGGACAATCCTGCAGGTCAGATATAAGCACCCCACTGGTGCGGGCCGTGAGTTTGACACTCCTGGTGTATACAGTCACTAATACACCACATACACAAGTAGAACTATTTTACATAAATGAAGCATTCGGGGGGGGGGGGGGGAAATGCTTATTTATTGTTTTGGGGATTATTCTCACTCTGTATTTTTTACTCATAGAAAAAAATGCATCTGAGTAAGCCACCAAACCAATAAATAAATCCACAGCAGAGAACACTCAACCCAAACTAAACAAAGAAATGTGGTGAAATCAAGCTGAGGGCTTTAACTACAGTTTCAAGGATCAGTAATACATATGTACATGCCATGCAAAATGTGCTTCAAAAAAAGGAGACAATAATTAGAAAATAAAGTAGAGCAGCAATTGCCAACTGGTGGGCCGTGAGAAATTTTTGGTGCGCCTCAGAGAAATCTCACCCCAGAGCACCCCCCCAAAGCAATTAATCCAGGCTGCACAGAAACACGAGGCTGCTCAATCCACATGGCCTGAGTGAACTCTCCCTGCCCACTCACTCCTTACCCGGCAAACTTGTCTGCTAAATTGCTATTTTTCCTTTTTTTGACCATCATTTGTTCTGTTGTGCCAGGAGATTTAGATTAGCTAGGAAGCAGTAAATGGTTGGATTTCTTGCTTTCCAGCTAAGCACAGCCGAACCTCTCTGAAGGTTTGCTTGCAAGCAACTTCAGTGCAGACTCACAGCAAGCAAATTTGATAGACTGAGCTAGCCGATAGCAGATAGATAGATCACTGAATGATTCTGTGAGCAACTCAATCTGCCTGCCTGCTTTGCCTGATTTTGGGTAAAAGTTGCTCTTTTTTATAAAAAATTCAATATTTATATAAATATTTATAATATTTACATACAAGCCATGCCCAACCAAGCCACACCCACAAATTAGGCCATGCCCACAGAACCAGTTAGTGGTCCCTGGGATCTAAAATTATGAGTTTGGTGGTCCCTGAGGTCCAAAAGGTTGGCGACCTCTGAAGTAGAGGGTCCATATAGGAGAGATATATAGCTTGCAGGACAATGAACAGAAGTCTCATCGTCCAGAGATATATAGAACAAGAAGGAAGGAACAGATATACAAAGTGCAAGACACAAAATGGAAAGCAAAAGACAAACACCCAGAAAAACCCATCAGCACACCTTAAATTTGCTTCCTTTTGTTTCAGCAGCTTAAGGCAGGCTTGCTTGTTACAGATATTGCTACCTGTCTTTAAATTTGGATGTCTTTGCTCCTATATAGGTAGTTCTCAACTTACAACCACAACTGAGTGCAAAATTTCTGTTGGTTGGTGAGACAACTGTTAAGTGAGTTTTGCCCCATTTTACAATCATTCTTGCCACAGTTGTTAAATGAATCACTGCAGTTGTTAAGTTAATAACATGATTGTTAAATGCATCTGGCTTCCCCATTGACTTTGCTTGTCAGAAGGTCACAAAAGTTGATCACATGACTTCAGGATTCTGCAATGGTCATAAATATGAGCCAGTTGCCAAGCATCCAAATTTTGATCACATGATCATGGGATGCTGCAAAGGTCGTGTAAATCAAGGACTATCTGTAATACTCAGATCATCACACTCCAAGGAAACACCAGTAACACAGGTTAGCACATTCATATACGAAAGTAAGCAACAAATATGTCCACAAAGCATTTAACAGCTATACATGATATGACCCAATTTCCAAAAAAAGTATTACAAAACATTCCTATTAAATGCATTATAATTTGATTGTGGATGGTTGCAATCTTATTCAGAAATTATGAGTATCAACTACATTTTATGGATATTTAATATCTATTGTTATCTGTATGTCAACAGATAGGCATTGTTAATAAAGCAACAGTATTCTCCTAAACTGATGCAGAATGGCAGGCTGGGAGTCCTGAACAAATTTCATGAATGGGGGTGGTGAGGACGCGGGGGGGGACAACTGTGTAAGTTCAGATGTGTATGTGTGCTTATTATTTATGTTTGATTAAGTAAAAGGAATTTTCTGAGCTCAGAACCATGCATCAATAATATAATATCAAACACAGTGAAAGTGCCTAGCCATATAATATCCTTGACTTATTCACAAACTTTCCATAAAATATTATTTTCCTCAGACTGTAATTTTAGAGAAAACTTTATTTTAAAATAGTGACTGATCACAGGACTATTATAATTTAGATTTTAAGAAAATAAGAAAACTTTTCAAACGGGTTTTCTTTTAATTTAGTTGAATTGGGTCTATGGTGAAGAAAAATCAAATCCTTTGGTGAGACAACAATGATTTAAGCAAGGTGATTTTATACTTCAGGTCTAGCATAACAAATGTCTTGCAACTAGCAGTTAGTTACGTAACACTTCTCACTGTACTGCCTTGCTATTTCTCAAAGCTATTTTGAAAGCATTTGCAAAAATTTCACTTAGAAATACTTAGAAATAAATATACTTCAAAGAAACTAGGGCTTTGATTTAAAATGTCTTATAGACATGCAACTAGATAAAAGTGAAAAACATACCAAAAATAAAAACTATCCCATATGTATGCAATCAGAAATTTTCTGACAGTGAGAACGCTCAACCAATGGAACAGCTTGCCCTCGGAAGTTGTGGAAGCTTCATCACTGGAGGCTTTCAAGAAGAGACTGGACTGCCATTTGTCAGAAATGGGTAGGGTCTCCTGCTTAGGTGGGGAGTTGGACTAGATGACCTCCAAGGTCCCTTCCAACTCTGTTAATCTGTTAAATCAAGGCAATTTCTTAAAAATAGGGGGAAGAATTATGCTAATTCCAGATCAATATGTTCTTGAAGTCTCACTGATCTACACTTGTTTTAACCTATTTTATAATCTTTAATCATGATTAAAGTTGTTTAGCTACTTGTGGAAGATAAAATAATAAAAAGCAGGATAGACTGGATTAGGGGGTTTATTTTTATGAAGTCCTGAGCAATCAACCTTCCAAAACTTAAGATATATTTGCTGCAAAAATGCTAAAAGATGGAAACAGAGAATTTCACGAATGAAAAATATTACATTTATTTTATAAATGCCTCACTCTGAGTTCCCAGTTTCTAGCACAAGCATAAAGCCCTTTATGAAAAGATGCCTCTGTTATCTGACAAGATAGCAGGCATGAGAAGGCAGCGGAAGATGAACTGTGTCCTATACAGTATGGAATAAAATCTCTGGGATGATATGTACTGTATATATGGGTTTCCACTTAAAGCATGTTTCATAATAAGCATAGTCTAATCCAGGGGTTCCCAAACTTGACAACTTTAAGACTGGAGAATTCTGGGAGTTGAAGTCCACAAGTCTTAAAGTTGCCAAGTTTAGAGACCTCTGGTCTAGTCACTGCTACGAAAATAAAAATGAAGGAGATGGATTAGAACTATTAGCTTCCTTGTTCTCTTGAAGATGAAAAAAGAAAACAATTCTATTGTGATTCATTCCTAAAATTATTAATTCTGATTCTGTTTGGCAAATTATCTGGAAAAGGAGCAAATGAGGAACATAAATTTCATTTCTCTATTTGGAATCAAAATGATAAGGTAGTATATACAGTGAAATAAATATCTTGAACATTTCTGAATGCCAGTGAATTTCTGACCGTGGTAAGGGTAAAAATTAACATTTAAGCAATCATAATAGAAATACTACCTCATTTGCTATTGCTTTTCCAAACAGAAACCATTTCTCTGGTAGACAGGAAGCCTAAACAGTTTCTCACTGAATGTGTTAAAATAGATTTCTAAAATCAATTAAATTTCAAAGGACTAAAGTGGAAGATTTTTCAGTACTTAATCTGAAACAATTCCTAACTGCATGGCTTTTAAAAAACCACCCATGTTGTATCTGAAATGATTAAATGGCAGCTTGGGTTTCAGTGGATTATATCAAATTGTTATGTACTCCTCAGTAGGTCCTCCACACTTAAATTACAAATAAACTCTATAAATGATTTCTCAACTTCACAATGAATTTAGTCTTCCCCATCTGCAATAGTTGAGATATCTTTAGTGTAAGGATGTCCTAAGACAGGGGTGTCAAACTCAAGGCCCATGGGCTGCATCGGCCCACAGGATGCTTAGATCTGGCCCACAGGGCCGGTCTGGAAATAGCAAAGGACTGGCCCACGGTACCTCTGCTAGCAAAAATGGGGCATGGGCAGGGCACGCCCATGCACCCCCCCACAACCGCTTTTGGCCTCCAGAGTCACCCAGAAGGCCTTCCAGGCCCAAAACAAGGCCTCCAAAGCACTGTAGGAGGCCGTCCTTGACTCAGAAGGTTCTACAAGGGAGGAAAAGTAAAATATTTTACCTTTCAGGCTTGAAGATTCTGCTACTGTAGCCTATGTCAACAATTTTGTAGTTCTAGTCTTCCTATGGAGTCAGTTTCTTGATCTGGTCATCAAGTAGATCAAGTAAGTCTTAAAAAAAATCACAGAAATGTACACCTCTCTATTTTTATAAGTGTATAAAACCATGTGTGTGGAGGTGCCATGTCACATTCAATATGGCCACGCCCCCGGGGGAAGAAGGCGGAGCCTCCTCGCTGACGAACCATAGATCGCGACTCTCTGCAGCTATGGTCCGTGCTCTTTTGTTGGAGAGCCCCGATTATTACAATTAGGGGCTGAAGCTGCCTTGGAGGGGCAGCGGAGTAAGGGGAAGCCGCAAACCAAGTTGAGGGGAGCCGCATCTCCCCGCCCTGGGCTTGGTCTTTTTTCCCCCGAAGACGACTGCAGTGGTGGTTTAAAATGGCTACCCCGAAGAGGAGGACTCAGTTGGATTAAGATTTGTGCAGGAGGGAAGAAAGAGGTGGATAACATCTCAACCGGGACAACTGGGCAATACAACTAAACAAAAGTATTCCGGGATTAAGATAACATGGAATTTTTAAGAAAAGAAAAGTGAGCAGCGAAATTACAAAGGGACAAGGAAAAAAACAGAAAATATTTTTGACAGTTAAGCGGGGCTTTGAACCGGGAAAGGAAGAAGCTGGAACTAAAGATTTAACTAAATTGGACTAAAATGTTTTGGGAATAAACAGGCATAAAATAAAGCTGGACTTAAGATTGTCAAAAATAATAATAATAAAGTTTACAAATTGGAGACTGGACTGTGCTGGAATATTGAGGTTTGAAAAACCCTAAACAAAAAAAGAGGGGGGAAAGGTGAAGACTTTGTATAATGGAGGGTGCCACCTTTTGACAAAAACTTGAGCTCAAACAAAAGGGAAAGCATCCTGTTTCTGAATGAACTCGTGCGGATATAACATTAAAGAAATATTGAAACAAAGTAAGAATCTTAGAAAGTGAAAGCAGAACCAGAATAAAGAAAAAGGCAAGGAAAGACTGACTGTAGGATTGATTGATGTTTTTGGTATAGACCCTGGGCTGGAATAACTGAGAACTTTAGAAAATTGAAAGAAGAAGGAAAGTAAAAGTGTATATTTTTTTTTTGTGGACTTTAATGATCATAAAATATAAGAGCATGTAATGATGATATCTCTTCAGGAATTAAAAATGGAACTTAAAAATATGAGAGAATTACAGGAAAGAGGCGAATCACTTTGCTCTGTGTTAGAAAAAATGGAAATGGTGATTGAAGAACAAGAAGAAAGAGCTTCAGAGAAGGAGGAGTCGATTCAAGGAGAAGACATTTTAAATAGACAATTAACACAAAGAACACTACAAAGAAGTGGGGAAAGAAGGAAGGTTAAAAAGTTGAAATTTAAGAAGGCAATCAAAAGGGGGAATACCTGTGAAGTCAGGAAAGGCAGAAAGACCCAGCAGAAAAGGGGAAAGGAAGATATTAAGAAAGAGAGGGATATAAACTGGAATGAGAAAAGATATGGGGAAAAGAGGGGGAGGAGAAGCAGTAAGAAACAGGTGCATGAAATAAAGAAATACGGAAATAGTAAAAGGTTGAAAAGAAATTGTTTTTTCAGAGATAATAGTTGATGAATTAAAAAGGGGATTCTGCAGGGTGACAAGGGGTAATAAGAATATTTCTGCAATTAAAAATATTTAGAAAATAGGGTAATATAGATACTGATAACTCTTATTAAAAATCAAGCAGGGAAAATATGCTGCGGAATCCAAATGAAAAGATGTAATGATTATTATTGTAACTTCTTAAAAATAATGGTTTATTGGGAATCAAGATGAGGGAATAAAGGTATATTTTAATCATTGAGGTGTCACACTCAAAATAGTAAAAGTGGGGAAACCTATACTTGGTGGGTTTTTTTTTAGTGTTAAAATTTGTATTAATCTAGAATTTATAAAAAGAATGTGTAATGGAAAGGGAATATGACAGACTAAAGAACCAACTAAATTAATAAGTTAATATAGACTATTAAAAGCAAGGAGAGACATTGGTAACTTTTTATTATTATCATTATTATCATTATTATTATTGTTATTAGGCAAACACATATTGTTTATCTTTATTTTTAAAATAAATATTAAAGGATAATTTTTGAAATAATTGAAATGAAACAAAAAGATGTTTCGACTCAGATTAATGAAAGAAGCTAGAATTAATGTGTTTGTTTCTTTCCTTACTGAAAATTTGGAATGGAAAAGGTAATAATAGAATTAAGTATGCATATATGAATGTATAATCGCTGTCATATTTGTATGTAAAGGTGGTGACCCAGAAATATGTTGTCCACTAAAAAGAGATTTTTGTTTTTAATGTGAAAAACTGAATAAAAGTTGTTAAAAAAAAAAATGGCCACGCCCCCACCCAGCCCTCCACCCAATCCTGATGTGGCCCTCAATGAAATTGAGTTTGACACCCGTGTTCTACGAGATCAATATTTTGGCTTACTCAAAGGCGTTTCTGTTCCTTCCTTGCCTTTGCAAGGAATAGAATCCATTACAGAAATAAAATCTATAAAATCTCTATCAAAATCAAAAATGGTTTTTTTAAAATGGCAACTCTTCAACATGGCTAGGGGCTGGCTAGGGAATTCTGGGAGTTGAAGTCCACAGGTCTTACAGTTGCCAAAGTTGGATACCCCTGATCTAGATTAACTGTTTATTTGTATTAGCAGAAACTTAGTTTTCCAGTCCACTTTGTGATTTCCTTTTCAACTAGAATTGTCAGAGACTGAATTTACGATCCACTGCATGCAAAGCTGTAATATTGAGTTCTTGCCACCAAAGGCTAAATGTTCATAAAACAGAAACAAATAACTTATTTCAGTGAGCCAACCCAATGTTGCAGAAGAGTTGAAAGATTATAAGAATATGTACTCAATGTGATTTTCATGGAAGACTTCTTCTGAATCCCTTTTTATTTCAGTCTTTGCATTTATTTTCCATCTTCATGTTGAGTTCAAACTTCTATAGAAATCTTCCTGACTTTACAATAATGACCATGGCAGAGTTAGCAGAACTGGGCAAGAAAGAGAATACCCGTGTTTCCTCAAAAATAAGACCGGGTCTTATATTAATTTTTGTTCCAAAAGACACATTAGAGTTTATTTTCCAATTAGGTCTTATTTTGGGGAAAATACAGTACTAAATGTGTCTGGCTGGCTGACGATCCTAACTGGGGCTTATTTTACGAACATCCTGTAAATAAGCTAGGGCTTATTTTCTGATTGGGTCTTATTTTGGGGAAAACATGGTACCTGATCCAGAATTACCCAGAGGTTGAGTGAAGGGGGATGCACTTGAAACTACTTCATTCCAGCCAAATAGTTTAATCCTTGTATTACACTGAAGAGTAATAAATCCTATTCTCAAATACAATTGTATCCAAATACGATCAGCAATGAATAGAATCAATTTCCCAAGTGATACCTATTCATACAACCCAGTATCTTCTTTGCAAATGAAGGTGAAAATAATGAGATATGTTATTTTGTACTCAAACATTCCCACTTCTGAACATGAAGTCTCTTAAAAGTCACTTGATTCCATTTATCCAATCTTCTGAAAACAAACACTCTTGCAGGATTTCTCCTTGCAGAAAAATATATTTGACACCTGTGATCCTTTTCTATTTTTATGAGAAGATAGAAATTCTAATTCTAAGCTAAGAATATTTCCTTTCTAACCTAGAAAGGAAATATTCTAGGAGAAATCAGGACTGCTTGTGGTGATATGCAAAACGTTTTAAATTCAAAATATCTCACATTTGAAATGGAGTGTTTTGAATTTAAGACAGTTCAAAATTGAGTTATTTTATAGACTGCAGGTTGCTATGGATGATGTAATCTTTGTTACAGGTGACACAAAAGCAAAGCTGCCACTTTACATGCCCATTAATATTTAAATATTAAACATTTGTTTGATGAAATATTCCATCCATGCTTGACTACTGTCCTGACATCAGGACAACAGAATGCAGTGATGAAATTTTCATAGCAGGTTTAGGACTTAAATGAACTCTTAAATTATACAGATATCTATTTTAAGAAAAAAATACATATTCCAGATGTAAATATACCCACATTTCTCAAAAAAACCATGTATATTTTATTTCCCAATAAATTTTTTTTGCTAACTCTATAGAGAGAATACATGAAGCAAGTTCATTTAAATACACAAAGAGTTTGATACTGAACTATTTTTTAATGATTTCCCAGATATATAGCTTTTTAAACAATTGTTCATTCTAAATTGGCTCTGAATTAAAGAATTATTTACCCCCAACAAAATTCAACCAGTATTTTGTTAAAATATTTTAGCAGCTTTTTAGAGGACCATATCAAAATTTGTTCAGTTACGAAAGCACAAATAAACATATAAGAACAACTTAAAAAAGGATGTCTTTATCTTTAATGCATGAAATGATCTCACAAATGACATTCTTTCATTATGCATGTTAGAGTGTCTAGGTTATGCAAAAGCATCGTTTTAAAATGCCAATAAACGTGAAAGCTCTATGGTTTTTTTCAAAACTGTTTGGAACAGACACCTTTTCTTAAGATATTGTATAGATACGTAATAAACCTTAAAAAATACCTGAGAGGTCTCGCCTGGGGATTGCCTGCTTCTACATATGGATGTAAATAATCCTTTATGTAGAGATCAGCAGCACTATTAGAATGGGTGCAAATGAGAATCCTGCTGGAATAAATGGTGCAAATAAAAAAGCAATGAAGAAACAGAAAATCATTCAAAGCAGTAAAATTACAAAAGAATAGTGATCATCTGTTCTGCATATTTCTTTCAATGAAATTAATTTGCAAATTTTATGATTTAATGATGTTCCTAACTTCTGTGGGAATGTACATCCTTTCAACAAAACCTTTACCATTGCTTTCCACTACTTCAGGGCCATCTTCTCCAGACAGAATCCGCTTGCCTGCCTCCATCATGGCCTAGCAGGAAGGCATTCTCAGGCGCTGCCTCCTATGCCTGGAATAGTATGGCCCCCAAGATCCTATGTGCCCCTACCTTCATGTCCTTCAGAGTATTTAAGTTTTATTTATGATTAATTGCTTTTATTCTATTTTATCCATATTTTAGTTTTATATATTTTAAACCACCTAGAACCACAGGAATTAGTGGCGTACAAATGTGGATTAAAAAAAAAAAGTAACAGTTTTATAAACAAAGATTACTAACACAATGCTATACAAATCTGATTTCTAAATGGAATGCTGCACTTTTCTTCACAGGGCACCACATTTAATTCAAAGGGAGAGATCAGACTCACAAATGCTCTCCTAAATATTTATATAAGACAATGAGGGATGGTGGGAAAGGGGGGGAGGGGTAAAGCCAGACGAAAATTCTACACTGCTAACCTTTAAATAAAGAGAGATATTTGCCTCCTAATTAAAAATCTGCAGATCATCCCATCTCACCTGGTGTCCTGCTGTTGGAGAATTTGTTTGACTGCCTGAGCCAAAGTGAAAGTTTTGCCCGTCCCGTAAGGACCAATAATAAGGACTGGAGGCAGTTGAATTGACAGTGGAGTTGTGATGGCCAGAACAGCCTCCTTCTGCTTTGCATTGAGCCTAGGATCCAACTGTTCATCCCACTGCCTGCACAACAGAAAGCAGGATATAATCAAAGACACATTGGAAAAAATTATTGCGTTTATAAATTCTGATTTGATATTCTTATATCAAAGATTCTTATTAATAAATTCTTACATTTTTATAATCTCAACTAATTCTCAGGAAAAAAATATCCCTTTTTAAAAAAAATAAAACTTTAATATTTGATCATACCATCTGACTGATTAACTATGAGAATGGCTGGCTCAGGAATTCTGGGAGTTAAAGTCCACAGGTCATAAAGTTGCCATAGTTGCCCACCCCTGTTCTAGAGGTTATGTTGAACCATTTCAGATTGGTCAAAACCAAAATCCAAAATACTTTGTTTCACATGAAACAAAATCTGGATGGGCTGAGTAGGTCAAAGCTGTTGCGCTTTGTCACTTCTCTTCTTTCTTTCAGAATTCCCAGTGGGACATATCATACTAACCTGCCTAATCCCAATCTTATCACCTCCTCTTCCTTCATTTAATTCTCACCAACATCTCATCTCCCATTGGTCCATCTGCCCTCAATTTTCCCTGCAACTTTCCCCTCCTCTCAGTTATTGCCATTGATGGCCCAGCGCAGCATATCTCATTAGCCAGTGGGCCAAGAAATAGGTATAAATTCAAACTCAAAAGGCTTTGAATGCAGCATTGTTTCCTCAAATGATAAAATACCTTTTGATTATTTTATACTTTTTTGCTACTTTTTTGTAAAATGTACTGTTTATATTATGGTAGGTTCGTATTTCAGAAACATTTACCTTTATTGATCTTCAAGAAATATATGCAAGAGCAATATACAAACGTAATGAAAACACAGATTAATTAATTTGCCACCTGTAATCTGCTAGCCTAATAGTCAGATTATAAAACTAGTTTAATATGCTACAAATACTACAAACCAGATGTTAGAAATGTTATTGATTCTCACCACACCCCTAACCAAAAGATGCAACATCATATCATCAGGCAGATTAAAATCCTCTCATACCCAATTCTTTTAGATTGCTCCATACAGGTCCAGCTTTTCTCCATAGCTTGTTATATAAAGCAACACAAACGCTTCTAACTGAGCTTTAATCTGCATTAAGTAGATCACATTTGAAAGAACAGTTCATTTTTAAAGCAGTTTCTTCCGTAAAGGATGGGATTGATTAAAACTGGCCTTTGATATAAAGAATAAAAATAGTCAGTTGCCTAATCCTGACATTCATAGGAAAAATTAGTCATTTGTTTCTCATCACTTTACCTAAAACATTCTAGTGGACAAGGTTATATGAATCATCTAAATACAAGGAATGCAAATTCTGTAATTTTAATATATTAGTTCCCTGTATCAAAGTATTAATGTTTTTGTACCTGTTGGGACTCCAAGGTATTGTGGGGGTCATGCTGACATCTGGAAACAGGATACCATTGTCCTTGATCCTATCCAAGGCATAATGCATTTCACAGAGGGGTAAGCGGTTTAATTGAAACTGAAGCTCAACCTAAGTGCATACAAAATGAACGTAAGAATGAAGGAATGAATAACATGCCAGAAAATAGGAAATTAAAAGAACTAGTTACACTTGTGCAAATAATGAATCCCCTATATTGTCACCATAAAACTACGTAATTTGTGAATAAACTTTTTGAAACTTGAATGATAATTAATAATGAACACATTCCTACTTGACCATGTTAACATCGCAAATGATATAATGCAACACATCATCTCTTTTTAATTAAGGCAAAAACAAACATTATTTTGAAAGAGCAAGCTGTTAAAATCTTTATTTTATTAACCTGTTTAAAAAAAAAAAGAATTATTTTTAAAATCAATACAATCCATTTATTTGACTGTTTTAAAACCAGCCACTATAAAGCAGTGTTACTTCATTTACTCTATCATGCTTTTGACTGCTCAAACAATTCTCTAATATTGGGATAAGTTTATTTATGTATACATACATACACATATATTCAAAAAGAGAAAATGTAAAAATTTCAAACAACACAATTTAATAGGAGCCAAACAGAGTATGTTATCCATTACAATTCCCACTAGAAATATAACCAGAGCACTACATTAAAAATATATCGAAAAGCTATGTTGTCAAAGCAATTTTCCTAAATAACCCAAAAGTTATTTCTTACATTTATTTATGTATGTAACAACAAAAAGGACCCATTTTGAGTATAAATGGGGAGTGGGAACCTCAATATCCTAAGATGTTCAAAGTAGAATTCAAATTTTTGAAATTCTGATAATTCTTCATTGGACAAAAAGGGAAGAGTAGACTGACTTAGATGGAGTCCTGGAATAGCCTACACACATGCAAGTTATATCCTATCATGTAAAGAAATAGGATTACATTGTTCTAAAGCTTGCTGGAAAAAAAAACCCTATAAAATTTCTAGCTTTTAAAGTCAAACTTATTTCCAGCTTTAGGACACAGAAAACAAAAGAGAATCAACCTGGGACCACTAATGAAACAAAATTGCAGTGCTTATAACATGGTTGCATACATAATGAGGACATTCTTAAAAACAGAGCCATGAGTGGTCCAACGAATGTAGCT